AATTGGATCTTGTAGGCGTGTACATTCAAATCCTTGTGGAGAATGCAGAGCAAACTGGTTCTCGAAATGCCCAATTCTTGGGATCGACGCGTTGTTGATTGTTTCGGATCGTCTCTCACACTCTCCTTCACAACAGCAATATTTTCCGGTGTGCGAACGCTCCTTGGCCGGCCAGAGCCTGGCAGATTTGCCACAGAACCTGTTGCCTCGAATTTACGCACCAGACGACCGATGGTTGTTTCGTTTGGGCGGTTGTTGCGATCGAAATGTTCACGAAGGACGCGAAACGTGTTTTTTATTTTTGCACCATTTTTGTAGTGCTCTTGAATAACTTTAATGCGGTCTTCAATCGAATACGACTCCATAGCGATCAATGGTAAACATTCAACTAACAAAATGACATGTCGGTGACATAAAACAAAGATGGCGTCTATGTCAAATTGACGTTTACTTTCCTGCGTCCCTATTGGACAACCCCATATATATATATATATGAAAATAAAGCTTATCATGTATATTAACTGATTTAGCTGCACGTTCTATTATCTTTTGTATAAAACTTCTTAGATCTCTTATAGAAGTCCCGAAGAGCTCCTTAATTGTGATGTTGCCGCTGCTTTTTCTGGTGCCTGGTCGCTACGTCCATCTTGTCAAGAACCACAGGGATATTCAAATCGAGATGAGTGTCTCTATCATAGGCATACCACAACTCCGAGCTTTGCTTTGGAAACTTTGATTATTTTTTTTTGTCGAAACCATTGGAACAACTCCATAGCTAGCAGCCATAGAGCCATGGCTCTAAGATCTGATCAGAGATCATACTGTTTCTATGGAGGAAAACATAGCAACATGTCTGAGCAGTAATTTATTTCGATCTGCACCAACTAGTTACGTCTTCAACTTTTGTTCGGTAGTATAGACTGTTCACTGTCCCGAAAATCCTAAGTGACAGCTTGTCGTGCTTCTGTCTCCGCAGATTATGACTCTGTCTGGCTCGTCTCCGCCACCGAAGGCACTAGCGATGCCCTATCGCATTTCGTGCATGCTCTGCTAGCTAGAAAACCGCCACCAGCAAGCTCAAAGGGCGCCAGTACCCACTACAACCGAGAACGGGACGACGGATTCGTTTTCATCCTTTTTCACCCGCTCCGTCCACTTTTTTTTGTTGGAGACGGGGTAATTTTTCAAGTGTGTGTGCTGTTGGCCGTAACTACGCTTTCTGGATACTTTACGGACCAGGCCTCTCGGCATGGATTCTAAGCACATCCATTTAACCCAATAAAAATCATAAATAACGGCTGTAAAGTAGGAGTGGTCTACTTGCAATTGAACAAATCAAACATGGTGTTTCTACTTCACAGCCAGAATCGTCTGCCATCTAGCGGTCACGTGGCGACTGAGCTATCAGACGCGGGATCCGTAACAGTTCCTACTAATAGCAGCTATGGTCTTTGACAGTAGTCGATTCTGGTGTAGATGTAGGACTTTAAGGCTATGAAAAATGTTCTAATGAGGTGCATATTTATTTTTCATCAATTTTCTTCCATTGTTTGAATCGGGCTGCTTTGGTAATTTTAAAAATATATACGAAACCATCTTTGCCGCTCCAAGAATAAAGTTTTACGTACTTTAGAAAACAAACATACTTTCAAGGTTTTCAAGAGATAAACAACGTTTCAGCGTTATTTTTTAAAACCCACCAATTGGAGAGTCCAAAATCATGCATAACAGTTGTGTTCTCTTCACTCTCCGGATGTCGAACAAAAAGAGAGTATACAGAGAATACACAGCTAAGTTAGTTGCTTGCTGAAGATATTTAAAAATGACGACAAGTAGGTTGACTATGCACTTTTCAGGCAAGGTTGATTCACAGCACAGTTTAGCCCTAGTGAGGAGAAGATTAGCTAGGGACATGTATAACAAAGAATTACACACATCAAGTCATCCTAACAGGCCCGAACAATTAATCCATATCCCCACACGTTTGATAAGGCTAGAAATTTACTTCCTCACCTACTTCAATTATCGATCATCTGGCAGCGATGTTGGACCATACCAGTTAAACATGCCACAAGCGTCAGCCATGATTCTATAACTCGAGATCGAGATCGTCAACGATGCAGTCACCACAAACATACGATGCATACGTATGTGAATAGTTTTAGGAGCAAGTGTACGGGAAAGTCTATGATATACCAAATACGTGCTGGGAAGAACAGAGTCATGTCATTTCTTGGATCATGGGTCAAACTCCACCTCTATATGTACAGCAGCGGACAAAAGTTTGGAAACAAATATGAACATTATTATGAACTGCTTCATATACCTTAATTAAAATTAATAATAAAATAATAATAAAAATAATATACAGTCTACCTTTGACACCCGTACTAATACAAGGTCTATCTTATCAATACTCAAGTTCTTTGAAAATAAAAACACGCGTTATTTTTTAAATACCACAGTCTTTGTAACGACAAAAAAATGGAAACGCTCCAGTTTTGCCGTATTTATTCGTTCTGCAATACGCTCGTATTGCGTGCGGTAAATACGTATATTAACACCAGTGAGAATGGAAAAAATAAAGAATATTTAAAAGATTAAAGAGACAAGGTAATTGAATTATTTAGAAGTGGTGTCAGGAATGTTGACATTTCTCAAACATTAAAAATGAAGAAAGGGACGATATCGAAAATTATCAGTAAATATCAAGAATACGGATTAATATCAACGCGGCCCAGGTGCGGAAGACCGAAAAAACGATTATGTTTTGGATAGCTACATTAAACGTTTGTCCCATGAAGATCCTAGAATGCCATACACACAGATTTTCAAAATAATCGTAGAAGAGGGTGCCGAGAATCTTTCTGTCAGAACAGTACAGAGACGCTTCGTGGATTTTGGGATTTTTGGTGGGTGCCCGTTGCAAAAGCCTCTCATTTGCTAAAACTCATCTAACTTGGGCAGAACAACAATTGAATAAAGTCTTATGTGAGATGTGCAATACCCAAAAAGGTTCTACAAAAAGTATCAGTTGCCATCAGTTCAGCACGGTCGAGGCAACATCATGGTTTGGGGCTATTTTTCTAGTTCTGGAACCGGTCCAATTGTTAAAATCGTTGGGAAAATGAATTAAAAACTTCACAAGGATATTTTTTGTTGAAGAAGAAGTGCCTTTACGATGCAAGATAATGACCCCAAGCATACCTCAAAAGGAGTGGTTAAGACTAAAAAATGTTAATGTTCTTACATGGCCTTCGCAATCGCTGGGCCTTAGCCCTATAGAACATCTTTGGGAGCATGTCAAAAGACAACTGACAAGATAAACTTTTTAAAATAGGAACGATTTTTTTGATTATGTAAAAAATACTTGGTAAAATAGTCCAACAAATGTCTGTAAAAAAACTGGGCTCTTCTGTGAGCACGAGATGTCAGACAGTATTGAGTACTAAAGGCTATGCTACCAAATATTAGCTAAACAGTATTTTTTAAATGTTTTTGTAGAGATTTAATATTGTAATAAAAAATATGTTTCCATACTTTTTGTCGTCTCATCTTTGGTCATTAAATACTATGAAGGTATTTTAATGTTAGTCTGTAGAACCACAGCAAACACAAATTGTCATTTGTATCCTCAAGACTGTAAGCAAGCTATATGTGGAAAAAATTGTCAGTAAAAATAAAGAATAAAAAGTTGGCGCTCTTTTTAAAATTAAGTACCAACTTTTGTCCGCTACTGTATATACTCCACAAAGTAGTCTCTTCCAAGAGTTTTGACTGTAAGCCAGTATACGCTAGATGCGACCGCGGTCGCGCTACGTGATCCAATTTCCCCATCGCTCAGCACTCTTGATGTCCGGGGTAGCATAGCCATATATTTCGGCGGGCCTAGCCTCGCCATGGGGGTAAAAAGGGCGATTATGCATGTGGTATGTGTATCGCGTGAAAGGGGCTGATATTGTCAAAATGGCTGGCACAGGAATACGGTCAAATTGGAAATTAATTCAGTTCAATATTGTCCAGCAGTACAATACGACAAATCCGCGGCCCCTACAAATAAATGTTCTTTACATGCCTAAGTAGAAATGAGCACCCATTTGGTTAATACTAGGTTATAAAATTACTCGAATTTGAGCAAAGAGAGGTACAGGTAAAAAGCATTAAATTTGACCGACACTTTCTACTTTTACATGAATTGTGATACAGAATGGGCCATGGTAAGGTTAATTCTTTTAAATTAATTGCGTTTGAATTCCCTTCCTTTAACCAACAGTACAACGCGCAGATTTCCACTAAATTTAGGCAGTGCCAAACTGCCCACAAGTGTTTAAGACTAAATCAAGATATTGATGAAAATGCATAACGTGAAATTTGCAGATAAAATCCTTGTCTGGTGCGCAATTTCTAACAGGGGCGTATCCCGACACTTTGTGTGAACAGTGAGGGTTGAAACCTTGAATAGTCATTGATAACTGCCTTTAAAATAGCTCCAGTTTGTCCACAAAGTCTTATTGACGTCGTAAACGAAACAGTTGAGAATGATTTTATTTGAATGAAATATTGTCACTTCAGACATAAGCAGGAGCTAGCAGTGACTAAAAAATGTTCGCTCAATTTTCGAGGCATGCTTCTGATGAGCATTTTATTGAAAATAACAGTGTCCCACTGTTGCTGTAAAAAATTGTGCTTGATTAATTCCGATGTGTAACTGACTTTGTACCTTGAGTATTTGTGAAATAAAATAAAATACGTTCATTTTTTTCATATTCCTCTATTGAAACTGAGATATTGTTCGCAAAAGATTTATTGTTTTCCTAGCTGTGAGACAAGTTGATCCGTCTAGATGGAACCACATGGTTTGCAGGTTAAAGTGTTAGACTTGAGGCGCCAAAGGGTTTTGCACCATACTACGGTAGCGCTAGCTAGTGACAGTGAGATAATGACCTGCAGCGTCTTCAAAGAAGTATGGCTTGTCGAATAACTGCGTATCTCCTTTCTAGGAATCATGAATAATATTGGATATAGAGGAAGGCAAATGATGAACGCTCTGCAACCAAGAGATGAAGTTGACGACCAAAAAAACACAAATGTATCAACTAGTTTGACATGTTCTACTTTAAATAAAGAGAGTGATACGGATAGCTTTCTTCTTTTTGTATGACTTGAAATTTTGTTGTGCTGCAAAAAAACATTTTTAATGTTTGAATTTGTTTAAGGCTAACGTCTTAGCTTAGCTTCCTTTGAAAATGTATGTTTTCTTTTCATGTTAATAAATAAGTTATGAAGGTGCAAGTGGTTTTATTTGAATTCGTCGTAGTAGGTTAAAAACTGGCTCATCTAATTTGCCTAATACATATCTTAGAGATCTATTATACCATTAGGTTTATTTACAATCCAAAGCGACATTACACATTTTTTGTTTCAAAAAGAAACAACAGCGACACTAAACGGATTTGGTTGTCAAAAATGTGTTAAATTTCGTTAAATATGTTTTGAGATAATTGCTAACCAAAAATTCTACATTTCGCGCTAATAAATCTAAAAAAACAAATTGATTCAACTTCAGGAACAAGTAATAATGAACATATCAGAATCCTAATAAACTTTAAATGGCTCTACTCTATAACTAGGTTTTTCGCATAGTGTCAGTATGGTATTGGTGCGATGTGATACATCGTCGGATTCGTAGAAAAAGGTGCTATTAGATACAGGGTGTACTTTGTTTCGGACTATCTGAGATGATAGTTTCTCAAACCGAAACGTCAGGCACATAATTGGAAAACACAATGATGCAGCGCCTGAGAGAGATATTTCTTAAAATTAAGTCATAAAAAATCACTCTAATTTGGCCAAATTTTAGGTTTCATCAAGTACGTTAGTCATGAAATTTCTACAAGTTTCTCAAAGACATGTAAATATGGCCAAAGCTTTTCCGTAATTGAACTTAACCTTCATAAGATCATGGTCAAAAACTTACAAGTAGGTTACAAAAGTATTTCAATTTCAAGAATAAACACATTCCAAGTAAAAAAATATATCTTCAAATAGGTATGCCGTAAACATTGAATAATAAACAAATTTGAAAAATAATATGAAATCATTATAATATAAAATCTGTGACATTTTAAATAATAATTTCATTATCTCACGACATTTTTTGAATGATCTGCACATAAGTATTGATTGCACCCAATACAAAACTTTCTAGATCTCGTGTCTTCACGTCTGTCGTATAAGAAACATTGGGAACAGGTTGTTCTGATAAAATGGATAACATGGATTGTTTTATATTGGAATGTAAAAACTTGTAATTAACCAATTAACGCCCAAAAGTTTGAACATGGAAAACGGATATTATGCATATAGGTTAGGTTATTAGGACCAAAAAAAAACTGATCCTAAACCATATATATTTTATTATTTTTTTCCAAAAAAATATCTGTATTCATTTGAGTACAATGGCCGAAACCGTAATTGCTTTTCTAGCTTCGCAGGAAAATGTCCGAATTTATGAAGGTTTTAATTTCTCCTTTGGTGGTGATGAAATTGTGTCGATCATTTTGAGATGCATATAACATGAGCTGATCAACAATATGTTGCAAAACCGTATGATTAAATAGTTGTACTGGATTAAATCCTTTATCTTGTTCCACTAGTTTATCCCTATTGGCATTCATTTTACGTAACGGTGGCTGCTCAGACCAATTGACATATTCAGGATTGCATTTCTCCCAGTCCAAGTGATCGCATTTAGCTTTATTAATACTAAGTGACATATAAATCCGAACACCCAGTTTAAATGGTTTTATTTTAATAAAAGTTGGTGAATGTATTTATCTTACTGTAAATAACAAGCGAAAAAATGTTCAGCCTTATCAGTTGGGCATTCCGGTTTTTATACTGTTTTTTTTTAATTCACTAACCCTCTAAAAATGAATATTTCACCCGCAGTAAAGAATCAACGTTGGCGGATTTTGGTTCTTGACATCCTTTACGATTGGTTACGATGCTTACAGTACGGAGACCTGTACGATTTCGTCAACTTAGTGAGCTTGATACGGGCTGTATAGTGGGACTTCGGGAAGCTGGACTTTCTTTTCGGGCAATTGCAGTTAGAGTGCAAAGAAGTGTAGACACTGTGGTTAGGTGTTATCAGGCATGGCTTCGAGAAGGCCGTACGCAAAGAGCAAGGAGCACTGGACGCCGCCGTAGAACAACAGACCGTGAAGATCGCCGCCTAAGATTATTGGCCTTAAGGGACCGTTTCTCCACTACCAGGTCCATTGCAGAAACACGGAAGACCTATTGGCATGCGAAGTGTTTACCGATGAATGAGAAATTTTGGCTTGTTTTCATACCGGCCACACTGGGTCCTCCCTTTAACTCGAGAGCACCGACGTAATCGCCTTGAGTGGTGCAGACAACGGTCACTCTGGGATCAGGAATGGAACAGTATTGTCTTTAGTGACGAGTTTCGATTTTGTTTAGGCATGCACGATGGTCGTGCCAGGGTTAGAAGGCGACGTGGTGAAAGGAGGAATCCACAGTTTTTTGTTGAAAGACATGTTCATCACACTGTTGGAGTTATGGTTTGGGGTGCTATAGCTTATGGTTCCAGGTCACCTTTAATCTTCATCAGAGGTGCATCCACACATTATTAAAGGTCAAAGGGCTTTAAATTAGTGCAATCATTTCGAAATTTTTATCATTTACTTATTATGCTTCATTAAGTACTTATACAAAATTTTATTAAAATAAAACCATTTAAACTGGGTGTTCGGATTTATATGTCACTTAGTATACTTTTCGTTCTCTCACTTCACTCAAAGGCTCTTCGTCGCTACTGCAGAGCTCGTCATTAGCTGATCTTCGGCGAAACAGCTATAAACGACCAGAAACACCTTGTGGCATTCCATTTGCCATCAGTTGGTTTTTGAACAATTCATCCTCCTCGTCAGTCAAATAATGCGGGCCTGGAGGCAAGACCACAATACCATCGTTATCTTTTAAATCATCTACAGCGTCAGGCAGAAAATTGTAATATACGTATGTTTTAACAGGATCATCAAAAATCGGTTTATACATATCTAAAACCAAAAAAAAATAGCATTATTCGAACGATAACGAATTTGCCCTGTGTACTCATTTGAGTACAGTCAAACTTGAACCTAGATTCTAATTACATCAAATCTGTTGAAATAATGTATGCCCGGCAAGTCAGACAAACAACTTTTACATATACACAATATAAAAGGATTACTTTATTAGATGGTCGCGTCAATGAGAAAAAATGATGAAAAAGCCGAACTTATCTTAAATCAAATAAGCAGTATGTTCTAATACTGTAAAGAACCTCACACTCACAGAATTTATGAAAAATATTTCTTGCGCCCCGTCGCATGTACCATCTGCAAAGTGTTCATAAACGGTAGTATTCCTGAGGTTGACTCATGGCTCTGATCGGATCAAACACGAGTATACTCACTTGAGTACAGCGGCCGTAAATTACAGTTTTCCTTCAACAAAAACATTTTTCATCTATCCAAACGGTTTTTATTCCAATTTAGATTTTTCAACATCCATAATTTATAGGCATTAATGCCACCAATGTCCAGAAGATGGAGAAATATTGCCATCGCCACCGATCACTCTATCTTTGAGTCATGAATGCCTTTGCCAATTTATCTGTTGTATACACTGTTTGTTGTTGTAGTCTAAAATAATGTCTAGGTTGTAATGACATTCCTGCCGTTACATATCAAGCGGAGTGCAGCTGAATGCCAAGGTTCAAAACTCACTATTGTTACAACAAATAGAAATTTCTTTAAACTAAATTAGAATTATATTTACGGAACATATTTTGAAGCAAATTGGGTTAAAAAAAGCATTTTATAAAATTGATGTCTGGAGTGCAACTGCACCCCCCTCGGGCTTCTGAAGGTTAAGCTGCATCTGCCACAGGTATTGCGATCCCGATGTACAGGGTCCTTATCTCCGACACCTTTTATATGCCGCAGTAGATGCTATGAAGTGCCTGCCTTTCTTGCATGGAAACATCAACCAATCGGACTGTACTATGTACAGATGGCCGGAAAAGCAAGATAGCTCCTGCGACGTCAACTTTGTCCCCGGTTGTGGCGATAAGCGTTGATAAGTGTCTCGCAATCGCGGCAGAAATATTGCGGAAGTTGTGGATGGGACACTACTACGGCTCTACACGCAACCTTACCATTGTACACATGCTTTTGAATACAAAAACAGCCACCTTGATATATCGTGCAGGGGGTCACGGGTGCCATGTGTTTGGCTGTATCTAAGGAGACCGAAAACGCGCTTGTTACGATATCAAATTTATTGCTTTCTATACAGGTTTTACCAGAATGATGCGGCAATCTCTAAGACGCTCATGGAACACAAAAAATAGTATCAAGTCCTGTGGTTAGTCCCTGCAATGATACCAGCATCCGAACGAAGCCTTTGGAATATAGGTTTTATCAGATAACTTGTAGGACATACCAAAACTCAATAGTGTAACAACCAGTTGGGACGTCACATTATGATGTTCATCGAAAAAAGTAAACTCATTCAGCGGCGGACCACCGTGTGCAATAATAAATCACAAAACCATCCTATGACCTCCGAGAGAAGCTTTGCAGATGGGTGACAGACTTTCTCTTTGGCCGCAAGTCGTAATTGACGGGTTCTCCTCTCAATCCCGCAATACCAACGCGGGTGTTCCCCAAGGATCAGCCTCGGCTCTGGCCGGCCTCCCATCTTAACCGTGTCGGTCTCCGTATATCAAGAACTGGCCGATACGACCGCACTTTTGTCCCTAGGGAACCAAATTTGTGGAACAGCCTAACTGAGGAGGCTTTTCCCAGGCCTACTAATCTTAGACTTTCTTCTTTTTATTTTTAAAACTATTCAGAGTAAAGTTCCGAAATCCAAATGGAGGGCTATTTATTGTACAGCTTGGCAGCAGTATAAGAGACACCCTTTTGTAGAGACTGTTTAGGTATAACTAATTACTGCCAAGCTTTACTTCAGATTGATAAACCGCAAAATATGACACTTTCTGATACTAGCATCCAAGTAAGTCAACAAACTGAAGTGTTAGGAATACACTTATAATAGATGAATTTCTGTCTTGGACTTCACACATAAATAAAACCGCTCTAGAA